GGGGGGGGGGGGGGCTCGGGAGGCGCACTGGCCGCTCTTGGTGCGTCTGCGCCCCTTTAGCACCGCCATGGGCCTGCCTCACTTGACCCCCCGGGGATTTAGAAACCGCAGACAAGGGTGGCCTGCGCTCCTGCCCTGCTCCCTCCGCCCCTCTGCGCGGGCTGGTCCCCAGGGACCCCTGCGCTCCCGGCGTGACCTCTGCGCGCGGCACGGACCCCTCGGGGAGCGCGCCCCGCCTTACCTGGTCTCTCGGTCCTTGGGGATCGTGGCGGTGCTGTAAGCGAACACCTGCTTCTCCACTAGAGGAGGGCCGAGGTCCACGAGGCCGGCTAAGCCCGGGGAGGTCCGTGGCTTTTCAATATACACCAAGGTGCCCGGCTCCTTTTTGAAGGCCTGGCGGCTGGGCGAGGCCCGGTCCGCCTGCAGCGGGTGAGGGGGCCCGTGGGCGTTGTGATGGGGGTGCATGTCCACCATTCTCATGTCGCTGACTCGGTGAGGGGAGGCGGGGGGCGTTTTGGAGCCCAGCGTGGGCAAGTGGCTGTCTGGGTATTTCCTGGACTTCTGCCTGTAGAGCGACTGCTCCATGTGCATCTCCGCCTGCAGGGCCGGGCTGCAGTAGGCGCTGGCCGAGCGGACGGCCGTGCGGTGATACGCCACGATGTGGTCGGGGACGTCCAGCGGGTGCCCGCCGTGGGACGAGGCGATGCTCATGCGCCCCTCGTGGTACAGGTAAGGGTCGGCATAGAAGCCCTCGCTGCGGTACAGAGCCATGTTCTTGCCGCCCAGGTCTTCGTCCGGCTTGACGTCTCTTCTCTCCAGGATGGCGCTGGGGCTGGGGGAGATGGATCTGGAGACCGGCAGGCTGGAGAGCCTGTCCCTGGGGATGGTGGCGTTGCCGGGGACCACGAGCGGGCGCGCGCCCCCGTAAGGAATTCTGGATGGGGACGGAGGCATGGAATGGGGCACCGGAGTGGACGGCGGGGAGTTTGGGATGGCGTGGGCCGGGTGAGCCGCGGATCCAGGTCGACAGGCGCCAGGGCCATCTCCTCTTGCATACACGATTTCTCTCTGCATCTGCAAAGGAAACAAGAAATCAGAAAATGTACTTGGAGAGCCATGTTTTTAGAGAAGCCTGAATGGGCTGAATAATGGCCCCTGTAGGATGCGCACGCCCCAATCTCTGGGCCCTGTAACTGTGTTCGCTTGCATGGCATAGGGACTTTGCAGATGTCCCTCTTTAAAAATGTTGAGATGCCCGGCTGGGGTGGCTCAGCGGTTGAGCATCGACCTAGGATCCAGGGGATCGGGGCTCCATTCCCAGTCAGGGCACATGCCCCGGTTGCGGGCTAGGCGGCCGATCAATGACTCTCTCATCATTGATGTTTCTATCTCTCTCTCTCCCCTTCCTTTCCTCTCTCTGAAGTCAATTAAGATATGTTTAAAAAAAATAAAAAAAATAAAAATGTTGAGATGGGGAGATTATCCTGGATTATCCAGGTGGGCTTAATGCAGATACAAGGGTCCTTATATGTGTCAGAATCAGGGAAGGAGACACCAGAAGCTGCTGCACCACTGGCTTTGGAAATGGAGGAGGGGCTGTGAACCAAAGAACGCAGGCAGCTTCTAGAAGCTGGAAAAGGCAAGGAAGTGGATTCTCCCTAGAACCCCCCCAGGGAGTCTGGCACTGCCAACACCTTGATTTTGGCCTGTGAGACCCATTCTGGACTTCTGATCTCCACGGCTGTAGGATGATGCATCTGTGGTGTTTTAAGCCAACTAAGTTTGTAGTAATTTGTGATAGCCGCCACCGAAACCAAATGCACCTGATATAAAAATCAACATTGTGGGGTTTGGGGAGAAAATAGTGCAGTGGTGTAAATTTTGAGGTCATAGCTTCTTAGAGACACTTAATAAATGTGGGTCTAATATATCCAAAGCGCTGAAATTATGTTTTCTAAAACTTGTTCTGGGCACATTTTCTAGTATTAGCCCTGGAAAACAGTAAGCATCTTTCCCAGATGGTTCAATCTAGAGACATGGCCAGAAGAGAAAAAGACATGCATGGGGAAAACCTGAAGGGACGTTTCACTGACTTACTGCCTCCTAACTTGAGCCTGAGAGAAACCGGGCTCTGCAGGTCGGGAGGAAATAACAATTCCGAAGATAAGAGTGCAACTGGAGGCAAGGGAGAGAAGAGGGAAGGGAATCCCAGGTGGGGAGAGGGAATCCTAACAGGACATTCCCTGGGCTGCCATGTGATGATAAGAAGTCTGCTGGAGTGAGCCTGGTACTTCTTGTTCAAGCAGCAGTGACTTCTGGGCTGTGTCATTACCATCAGTTTAGGAAAGCAGGGACTCCTGCAGGGTCTTCCATTAGCTCTCCTTTAGAAGAAACAATGACTAAAGAATCATAGATACAGATAGCAGACTTGTGGTTATCAGAAGCAAGAGGTGAGGGGTGGGTGAAGGTGGTCAAAATATATAAACTTGCAGTTATAATAACAAATACAATAAGGAAGTCATGGGGGTGTAATGTACAGCACAGTGACTATAGTTAATACTGTATCGTATATTTGCAAGTTGCCAAGAGAGTGATTTTAAAAGTTTGTATATTTGCAAGTTGCCAAGAGAGTGATTTTAAAAGTTCTCGTCACAAGAAAGAAAAATTATAACTATATCGGTGATGGATGTTAACTAGACTTATTGTGGTGAGCCTTTCTCAATAGTCACATATGTAGAATCATTATATCCTTCTGAAAATAATATAATGTTATATATCAATTATATCCCAATTAAAAAAGGAATTAACGGGGAAAGGGAAAACTAATTTGCAATTGCACTGCTATGTTTAGCAAAGGGCAGAATAAAAAACACAAATTAATTCAGGATATGAATATTTGATACTTTCTGTTTTGGTCAAAGCTCAGGAGGGTGATGGCCACTGAGATTTTCCCAAATTGATATAAGGGACAAACAGCGTTGGCACCTCCCAAGTCCACCCTTCAAATTCTATTTGTGTTGTCACAGGAGCCCACGTTCCCATCCAGACTCCTGGGAGGTGTGACAGACAAGGAGGGCATACATGGTTTGGGGG